AGAAGATTTGAACGACACCATGGACTAAGAATAGTCTTTTGAGAGTTGAGCAACTTGATCTGAGCATCTGAAGTCATTAATGTTTTAAAGTTGGCAATAGAATCTACTTTAGACCAAGAAAGTAAGGAAACTCCGTTGGAAGGTGAATATTTTAAGAAAAAGAATTGATATTATGGACTAAAAAGGAAAGGTGGCCTAGTGATTGGAGTTACGTGAGTATTATTTGGAGTATCTGTCAGAATCTTGGAATCAGTTTAACAAGATACTTGGAGTAAGGTTAACAGATATGCAAAGTAAAGTGGATCCTTATCAAGATGATGGAACTACACAAGGAAGTAGAGAAGAATCCCAAGGCGGAGAATCTGTATCTCTTTTATTACCATCTTCTAAATCTCGAGGATGAGATTCATCTTAAGGGGGTAGAATTATAACAACCTAAAATTTGCTTCTCTTGAAATAGAGCTAAAATGATTTAATTTTGTATTTTTAGGCTCATGAAAACATGGGTAAATAATAAATTTTCATTAGATTAAAATTTATCTTAAGGTAGAAACGTGTTTGTTGCATTCATGCCGATCGCACCTTGTGTTTCTATGTGAAAATGTGTTTTTTTAAAATACGTTTAGGAGACGAATATCTCTCTAGGAATTTTTTAGCTTCTTTTTAGAATTTAATTCCTACATCCTTCACCTTAATCTCTATGTTCCAAGTTCCCAACAATCTTTTCATGAGCTCCAAATACTTTATTTGGGTTCATCATGTTCCAAAGCGTCCCTAGAAAATTTCCCCAAATTTTCGGAGGTCTCGGAGTATTTTTTGTGGCTTAAATGTCAATTCATGACTTTTCTAGAATTATTTTATTCGTGAAATTAATTAATTCCAAAAATAAATAATATATCTCATTTTCCAACCAACTCTCAAAGCCCATGTGTAATAACCCTAATAAATCTCAAAGGCCCATGCATTTATTTACTAATGGGCTTTAATGATTATTTAGGCCCATTAGTAAATGTGGAGGGTGTAACATCAATTAGTACCATATTGCTAGTTGATGTAGATGTGGAGAGTTTTTCTCCCTATAAATATGTACCAACCTAGTTTGGGAAATTCCTCGTGTAGTAAATTAGATTTTTCTCCTCCTTGTCTCGCCATCGCCATCACCGTCGCTGCCGCGCTACCCAACGGCGTAGACCCGCCGTCAACCGCAAGAAGGCCCTAGGTGAGTTCACTGTCTTCTCCTCTTATTCCCTGTGCTCTCGGCTCATCAAACCATGGCCTCTAGGGCCCAAACTAAGCGCTCCGGGGAGCTTCTCACCGCCGGTAATGGAGCTCCGCCGCGTCGGTTTTTTTCTCCAGCCGGTGACTCTCTCTCCCCCTCCTTTCTAATCTGGGCCATCCAGATTCAATCCAACGGTCCAAGATCGCTCGTACCCCTTCACCAGGTTTATTTGCAAAAGGGCCTCTGTAGTTTCGCGTAATATAACCCGCAGTCCATGGCGCACTTGCAGAAATACGTTTTCCTATTCCAAAAGGTAGTTTCTTTCTAGTAGATTCAGAATACGTTTTCTCTTTCAGAAAGCATAAAATCCCTCTATTAGATTTAAAATACGTTTTCTTCTTTTGAAAACATAGTTTCTTCTGGTTAGATCCAAAATACGCTTTCATATATTTACAGTTTTGCCACTAGTCTTATTTAAGCCATAAAATCTTCGTTTTAGCTCTGTTTTGATCCATTCAAGTTGCGTTAGATTTGTAATTGAGTAATCTACATGTTCATCCTACTATTAAATATATTTTCAACTTTTGAAATTCGAGGTTAGATTTAATCTATTATTTTATTAAAGGAAATCTTGTTTAATTTATAACTTTTTTGTTAATAGCTCTGATTAGAGTACTTTTCGCGTCTGCGTGTTCGTAGCGAGATGTAGATTCATTTTAGAAACTTTTTATCTTGATTTTATATTTGGTGTACTATTCTAATTTAGATCTATTGTTTGCTTCGTGTATGATTACATGGATGCTTGTGTGGTGCTTTATGATCATGTCCAGTCGATGAGCTTTGCATTGGTGATATAAAAGAAGTTGGTGATACAGAAGAAGTCCTTTAGAGGTTACAATTCAATAGAAGAAGAATTTGAGTTTAAGGCAAGTATAGCATGGGATCTTCCTTATTGTCCTATTCACCTTAATATCATTTTAATCATATGCATGTGTCTACCTTGGTAGCCGTAATAATTTTCTTAGGTATTTGATATCTTGGATTTCTTGATTCCTATAGGGTATTGCATTGGGTAATATGATGCTAGTGTTCAACTAAAGCCATGATCTTATAACTTGACTAATGGTATATGCAATAAACATTAAAAGATGCTTTTTAGCAACATGGAACAAGGAGCTAGAGCATTGGGCTATTTTTATAGTGCTCTATATTGCTCTCCCTAAGGACTTATCTATAAGCGAATATCCCAGACTTATAGTACAGTTGTGAGGGCTACATGGCTCTGGCTTTAGCTTTGTATGAGGACCTTTTCTAGATTGTTAGTGGTTACCTTTATGGCGCAAGAGGGGCTCCGACAGGCATGACCTTTGCCTGCCAAAAGGGTGCACTTTGGTTTCTTGATATTTTATTAGTCACTCCTTGGAGGGGAGTTCATCCTTATTAATGGGGAAACCTTAGCGGCCCTAACTTATTAGATGAACCTTTCAAAGGCTTCATAGTGAACCCTGTCGACCTTTCTTGGTAGTGGGTCCAGAGGTTGGCCGCCTCGGGTGAAAGGATAAATCACGACTCACAGTGAAAAGTGTATAACCTCTGCAGAGTGTAAAACTGGTATATCAGCGGTGCTCATGGTCATGAGCGGCCTTGGACCCTTACGAAATAGATGATGAACACTGATGATACTGATGATGAAGATGCTCACTAATGATTAGTGTTTATGCTATTCATTATTCATGTTTACCTAATCATGTGTTTAGGTGGGCTTGTGGATAAAGTTGTTGCCACCCTATTGCTAAAATCATGACTCATTAAAAGGTAATCGCAGTTAACCAGTGTTAGCCTTTTGAGCCTCATGAACCCCTTGTCATATTTGTTGAGTATGACATATACTTACGCTTGCTTTACTTTTTAAATCTTTAGAAAAATCCCGGATGGGTACCAGATTGCTAGTCTGGAGGAGTTAGGCTTGTGATCAGCCAGTCAATTGTCCCTGTGGAATTGGAGTCTTCACCCAAAGATCAGAGTTGTCTTTTCACTGTTTGTTGTCTAAGGTTATATTCTTTATACTAAGTACGTTATATATTTAGCATTGTCTTTCGATATTACCCTTATTTGTAGCTATATGTGAGATTTGACTTTCTGGGCTCACATATGGTGTGTATCTGGTTTTGTTCTTAAAACCGGGTGCTACAATGGTTTTCAAATATTTTCTAGATGTGTTTGTTAGTATTTCGAATGCATGTTTCAAGTGTTTGTTATATGTGTTGTATCCAGATGTTTTAAAAGTAGATTGGGTGTTGCACATGTGATGTGCGTGTGAAACGGGAGGGGGCATGAGTGGTTCCCTGCGGGCGACGTCCAGGCGTCACGAGCCCCACTTGGGCGCATGAAACACAAGTGCGGGGACGAGGTCTAGGTAGCGCGGGCCCTGCGTAGATGTGCGAAACTGGTGCGCGGAAATGGAGTGTAGCCGCGGGCGTCCGGACTTCTTTTATGATTGGAGAGAGAGTAATTCAGATAATAAATAGTCCCTCCGTATAGGAAAAGGAAGGTGTTCTAGGACTTCTGCTCGTTTGCGTAAAGGATGTCACCGAGTGCTTGCATGCATGATTTGGGACGGCTTTGCCCCTGCAGCTTCGCACGCCGCGTCGCCCATTTATCGCTCATTTAATCACCGCGTACTAATAATAGCGCAACCTCGCTTCGCATGCCACGCCGCCCACTCGCCTCCCTTCGTCCTCAACCGCTTGTCTATCCTGGCCTAGCCGCTTCCTCGCCAACGCTTCCTTGCCAACGCTGCACTCGCTGTTTCCTCGCCTACCCCGTGCTCGCCGCTTCCTCGTCGACGCCGCGCTCGCCGCTTCCTCGCTCCATGGATGTAGCGGCGGACTCTGTGACGTCGGAGGAGTTAGCGCCGGCGGACTCCATGGAGATAACAACGGAGGATGACCTCGAGCAGGAACCCACGATCGTTGCTGGCGCCATGGAGATGACTTCGGAGTCCTTCGTGCCATACTCCTTGCTGCCGGAATCCAAGCTAGCAGGTGTACCCGTTGCGGTCTTGTTCACCGTGACTACGATCTCGACATGGAAAATTTCGATTGCGATATCTATATTCCTGATGTCAAGAAGCTTCAAATGGATGGCTACACCATACTTGTGCCGGAGAACATTTTGAAGCACGCGCCATGCAACCACACAGTGCTATGCAAACGCACACGCGCAACAGACAGAGGCAAATGCTAAAATACCGCACGGCAAGAATCGAAGCGCATGGCAAAAAATTGCGCCCGCGAAGAATCGAACCGGAACCTCAAGTCTCGGGAGTTGCTGCGCTAACCAATCAACCTGCGTGAGGTTGTTGTCTACAAAGGACTCGAGGGGTAGACAGGGAAAACTCTACCCTAATTAATCACTCTTTGTATGTTAAATACTATCCTAAATGACTTTCTTTATCGGTATGGAGGGAGTATATTCTGACGTGGAATATGTAACGTGTACGGGTGGGATCTCTCCGGACGTGGAAATAAAGGGCATCTTTAAAAAAGAGAATTCAAAGCAGGGCGTGGAAAAGGGAAGCAATAATGTGGAACCTTGACTCCACTAGCAGTCATCGGTCCAAGTCATCGTCCAGGTCCGTAAGCCGCACGCCACGAAGTCAACCGCTGCCCGCCACCACAGTTGACTCCATGGACGACTTCGTTCTCCTCCACTCCCTCTCCCTCTTCCACCCAACAGCAGCGTCCACAAGATCTCCACGCACGCTGCCGCCGGCCACGCGATGGACACCCCGCTGGTCGCGCTGATCGTCGTCGCAGGGACCGCACTCACCGTCGCGGTGCCCTGCCTCCTCCTCGCCTTCCTCTGCCGCCGCCACAGCAGCAAGAGCCAGCTCAAGCCGCGCAGTCGCCAGCTCTGCTGCTCGGCCTCGGCGGCGTCAACGCTCCCCATCCTCGCGCCCGCCGGTACGACGCCAGCAGACTGCCCGTCGTGGTCCTTCTATGGCACGACCGCGGACGCCTCGCTGCTGAAGCTCTCTCTCGCCGACCTCGCCGCCGCCACGGGGGGCTTCTCCCCGGACAACATCATCGGCGACGGCAGCTTTGGGTTCGTCTACCGCGCCGTGCTCCCCGACGGTGCAGCGGTGGCCGTGAAGCGCCTCTCCGGCGACGGCGACGCAGGCGCCGGCAACCGCGAGTTCCGCGCCGAGCTGGAGGTGCTGGGCAGCCTGAGCCACCCGAACCTCACGCGCCTGCTGGGCTACTGCGCCGCCGGCCGCGACCGCATCCTCGTCTACGAGCTCCTCGAGCGCGGCAGCCTCGACGCCTGGCTCCATGGTGGCGACGCCGAGGACGGCGGCGGCACCGAGACGCTGCCCTGGCCTGCGCGGCTCCACGTCGCGCGCGGCGCTGCCGCCGCGCTCGAGTTCCTCCACCACGGCCGGCGCCCGCCCGTGCTGCACCGTGACGTCAAGTCCAGCAACGTCCTCCTCGGGGAAGGCTTCGAGGCCAAGCTCGCCGACTTCGGCCTCGCTAGGATCGTCAGAGGAAGCCCTGCCAAATCCCACGTCAGCACGCAAGCCGCCGGTACCGCCGGGTAAATCAAATTCACCTTGCATGAACATGTCTATGTATGCAAATAGACAATCCGAACATTTGCTTATTAGCCCTCTTCTTGCATGAACATATAGATCGTTAGAAGAAATTGCAAATTCATAGTTACGATTGCAATTAGCATGGTAAAATTAAAGATAAAACAGTACATGAACAAATGCGTGAGTAATGCTAAATTTTGTCTTCATGAAGATTCATTGGGCATGATGTTTGTGGGATACAAAACAGGTATGTGGCACCAGAGATATGGGACGGAGTGGGGGCGACTGCGAAGGCCGATGTGTACAGCTTCGGCGTGCTGCTGATCGAGATCGTCACTGGACACCGGCCAAGTTGGCCGATGAAGGACAGCATGGGCGACAAGGAGGTGAATCTGGTGGATTGGGCAAGGGAGAAGATAGGTGTGGGACAGGCGTCGGAGATCCTGGACCGTCGGATGGGCATCCAAGCGCAAGGGAAGGAGATGGAGGAGGCCAAGGGGCTCTTGGAGATTGCACTCAGGTGTATCGATAGTGCTACCAAGAACAGGCCCACCATGGAGGAGGCTGTGGCCATGCTCAACAAGATTTGAGGATGTGGAAATTGAAATCAAGTGCTTCATTTGTGCTCGAATAACTGTATGATTATTGCGTAGAGGATTCAGAAGAAGCTGAACGCAGAAAAAAGGTGAAATGTTTCCGTTGTTTTTGCACAAAAGGCAAGGATACTGCTTGAAAAAGGCCATGCAGTCCTGATGTGCCTACCATAGGTTGCGACAATGCATGCTTATTTTTCTCCACAAATAAATTCACATAATGTGGCAGAAATTTGGAGATAGCAAGATCGATGTACCACTCTGTGTTGATGCTAAAATTCAAGTCTTTGGGACTCTCTTTTTGGGAATGAAAATGTCTGTGCCGGTTGGCCTTAATGTTGATAGATTTGTAATGATATAGACGTTTTAGCTATTTCTAGCGATGAGGACATTACACCTATGGATATGCCCATCACTAGTATAGAAATGATTTTTTGCGACACCACCATTTTCTATCAGAGGCGGTTAAAGTAGCACGCCGCATCTAAGGCCCCGTTTGGGACGGCTTCCGTCGGCTCCGGCTTACCTGACAAAAACAATGTAACAACACTGTAGCAAAAACACTGCCAACTTCACTTTTATCATTGATTTGTTCTATTTTTTAATCATTGACTGGTTCATATCTTCATACATATATTAGCACTACACCATTACACACATTTACCTACAGTTATGTGTTGGCAAAAGGTGGGTTTCAACTACATATTATGTGTTGGCAAATGTGTAACTTTTTAACATCAAATTATGTGTCGGCAATAAGGTTATAGGACCACACGTTATCTGTCGGCGTTTTTCTGCTGGCTGAAAAACTGTCGGCGAAAATTTCTAGACTATTTAAGTGTCGGTGTTGCCTAAACGTAACCACGCTACAAGTGTCGGCGAAAGACTACCCAGGTGAACGTCGTTCCCCGCACAGGCACAGACCGACACGGCCTATACACACACACACACACACAAAAAAGTCCCCAGGCTCATTGCCCCCAATCGTCCGCCGCCCCCATGCCCGTCAACCCGCGCCGCAGCCAATGGCGCGCCACCAACCCTAGCCACCGCGCCCCCTCCCCTTCCCTCCCTTCTCCCGCTGCGCCGCCGGCGGAGCAGGCCACCCAGGATGGCAGCGGCGGGACCCTCCTCTCGTTTGGTGGAGTGGCGGCACGGGATGACGCGGGCCGGCGGGCGTCGCCTCGCCTGAGCCACGTGGGGTTCGACGAGGCCGCCTGGCCGTGACTGCGACGGCGCTAGCCAGAGGCCTGGGCAGGCACAGGGTGGTGGTGACGGCGACGGGCTTCTCTTCCACTTCCCCTCCGTCGTCCCCTTTCCTCCTCGCATGGCGGCGCCGACGGGGCTGGCCTGGGCTGCTCCAGGGCCTGGGCTGGTGGATCCGGTGTTCTGGTGGCCGGATCTGTCACCCCCAGGTCAGGGGGCGGCGCCGGCGGTGGTGAGGCAGCCATAGCGAACGCGGGACCAAGAAGAGGGTCTTCCACGCCAAGCAACAGTGAGGCTATCCCTGATCTGATTTTTTCCCCTTCTGTTCTCAGTAAACGTGATTCCAGGGGAGAAATTGTCTGAGGCTTATTTGACACTATGGTAATAAAACGTGCCTTTCTTTTCATAGGTCAATAGGTTCATATATTTTGAGTTGTGATGTTCATGTATCGAGTACACAACCGTGCTAAAACGTTCCAAGATCATTCTAGTTGGTAGAAAACTTAATGGAAATTCATTATATCTGCCCTGCGAGCTGAATTTTTAGGGCTTCCAAACCACCTAGAAATTGGTTACAGATTCTAGATTACTATTTGGTGATATTGGAACTAGAACTCTAATCTCGCATTAATGCTGTGGTGCAGTTACAAGGATGTATGAACCATATGATTCGTCATCTCGCACCATATGGTCGTGTTTTCATATATGTATGTATATAACAGGCGGGAATGTAACCTAAAAGACGAGTGTTCTTTGTCACAAACTACTTCTATTTGCAATCACATGCTGTTACTGAAATGGAGAAAAACACCGTACACCTTGGTTACCAATATTTCCAGTACGCAATTCCAATCTTCTGCTTTATGTAATTAACTCTATAAGATAAATTTTCAATTTTCAATTTTTTTGTTAATGTAGAACCTAGAACATTAGTGAGTTGTTAAGGTTGCACATCAGTCTAGCAGGCTAGCAATTAATCTAGGCATTCCAATTTTTTTATGGATGGTTCATGGTCAAGACAGGATAATATCCTGGCATTACACCCTTGCCATTTGCCTTGATAATTAGGCTTTTCCATATTGATGTTTGCATCTGTTGCTTGACTGGTCTAAAATAGCCAAGTAGGTAAATATTGATCTTCGAGGATCTAACTAGGATATTGCTTCACTGTCTTTAGTGCAAATGAACTTTTTCTCACCAAATTATTGAAATAGGTATTGCCTCCCTTTATGCTTCAATTTTTAATGCCAATCTTTTGAAGGCACTGATATGTCCTGCATTGACTGAAAAGTACATCTGTAACATCCGTCACAGATGGAAGCAAAAGCTGTAATAGATCTTCATTGATGTGTGGGTCTCTAATCACCATTCTTTACCTCAGGTACCGGTATTAATGAATGCCGTGGGTGGAATTCTTGTTGGTCTTGTCACAACTTATGCAGGTGGCGTTAGAAAGGCAAGTGCCTAAACTGACATTAAATGAAAAACAGCCATGCCTTTCATTGACATCTGGGAACTGAACTTTTTTTTTTCAGGGTTTTGTTATAGTGTCAGCTCTCCTTGTAACTGCACTACTACAATTTGTGTTTGATGGGAAGCCACCATCGCTATGGTGCTGATATTCTAGTATTATACCTTCCCAATTTTATAAGCCTCACTACCAAAATTTGTTAGCTAGTTAATTTTCATTAGTGCTGGAATATGAGTGCAACAACTCTGAATCACGCTATGTGCACTTTATTTGCCAAGATAAATAGTTTCCTTTTTATCAGTATGTGCTAGAAAAGAATCATTAAGTAATATTTTATTGTAATTATTTAGTAATCAGCATGAACTGTTGATTCCAAATATTGTTGGCTTAACAATGATTAACGAAAATGATTCTTAGTTTGTTCTGGTAGGATACAGCTATAATGTAGCTGAACTCTTCTCTTGAAGGTATGAGCTTGGGCGCCAGCCGGCCAACACCAAGTTGTCAAGCAACAAGACAGTGAGGAGGGTTCGTGTTCGTGGAGGTAATGTGAAGTGGAGGGCTCTTCGCCTGGATACGTGGTCTACAATGCATCAAACAATGAGCTTGTGAGGACTCAAACCCTTGTGAAGAGTGCCATTGTGCAAGTTGATGCTGCCCCATTCAAGCAGTGGCACTCCCAAGCTCGGGTTGAGGAAGAGGTACGATATAGTTACGCAACATCTATTTTGTTCAACTCACTGTGTCGTGTGCTTGGATATGAATTTTGTTATGAATCAACTCTGCAAACTACAAATTCACAATGCGTCGCTGTGGTCAGACTTCAGAGCCTTAAAAAAACTTATTATGAAGTCCTTGCCTGCAATAGGACCCCTTTTTATAATTATAGGTGACTTCTGGTGTGTGTATTTCTGCTTCATTTGTTAGTTGAGTGTTTCACATGATATCATCCTTTTGAGATATGGAGTGTCAACTAACATGGACTTTCTGTTAGAGTTGAACATCCAGTAGCTAAGAACAGGCTGCGCCTTGGGAAGTGTGTGGTACCCCATGCTATCTACTCTACTCTACTTGCTGGTAATGTACCCATTGAGGAAACGGCCACAGATATGAGGGGTTCACATGACGGCAGGTGATACCGTAATAGGAGAACATGGCTCAGGAATAGATAAGTTTGTTGGTGGTCAGGTGGGACTTTGAGTGTAGATGCAGAGTTCTGGTTATATGCATCAATGTTGAATCATTGTGCTGAGCTGAACAACCATGTTGCTGATTCTTTCGGTTAACTGCCATGTGCTGAAATGTTGCTTGTTTTGCTGTTTACCGAGCTTTCTGGAATGAGCCAGTGGCAATGGATTACACACATTACCAATGATTAAAATTAGGTGTTGTGTTCAAGTAGGTTCGTTCTATAGTAGCAGTAGGTGTTAATTAGCTGTATAAGAAGGTAATATAGAATGTGAACTAGCATTTTTGTCAGTGAAAGGTGCTCTTTGTTATTACATTATAGTGCTGCAATTATTGGTTGAAGTACTTAGGTGTTCAGGTAAAGGAGTTAACAGTACTGTTTCCATGGTATTTTAGTCTGTAGCCCTATGTACTTGTTCTATACACATGGTATTTTAGTCCGTAGAACGCACACACCGAGGAGATCGACACCTGGCTATTGGTGTGCTTCCACCCCGTCATCCATGTGCATTGTAGATCCTGCAGTATTTTTTAGGGGAGATCCCTGATGATGTCTTTTTTTTTAGGGAACAGGAGGGGCTCAGGAGCCCCTACTGAACCTGTTGATGTCTTTAGTCAGTGTTTTTTTTAGGTGCTGTCTTTTCTTCTTTAATTTTTCGAACTTCTTATTTGTGACTTGCAGATGATGTTCCGAACAAGGATATTATTGGGAAGAATGGGTATTTATGATCAGTATCAGGATTGGCGCCTCGATGTTGACAACATGACATATGACGTATCTTCTCACTGCATACCATGTAAAATAAAACAGAAGATTTTATGCCTTCATCATCGCTCACTATTTCACTTGACAGGAATTGCTCGATCTTGAGGACCGGATTGGACATGTAAGTACAGGGCTTTGTGAAGACGAGATCATTCAAAGCCTTAGGATGGTCAAGTACTCCGCCTTCAACCCCAACCATTTTTGTACAGAAATGGATAGGAGATGTAGCATCTGTCAAGTATGCCCCTTCTCTTTCTCTTTTCCCTCCTCACTTCCTGCACCTCTACTCGGCACCTGATGTGTAGCCATCGATTCCATTTCAATTTTCAGGAAGAGTTTGAAGCAAACGAGGAAACTAGGAAGCTG